GCACCACCAGGTCCTGGTCCCCTCCCAGAGCTCAGGGAGACAAGGGACTATTTTATTAATGCTGCAGAGTAATATCAGGACCTGTGGCTCCCAATAATTAAGTTATAGTTCCGGCAGCCAGCCCGCACAGGCCGCCCCAGTGCAGCATGCATCAATCCATCTCAGAGCTGTGGATTGATTATCTAGTAGCTGTAGGGTCTGGGTAAAGCAACGATGTGTGGTCTGCTCAGAGAATCTGGAGGCTGTAGCAAAGCCATAGCTAGCTCCTTTTGCACCCGAGGCAAGAACAGAAAATTGTGCCCTCCCAAAAGGTGTGTGACATCACCCTACGCTGTGCACACACGGCGTCATGTGACGTCATGTGCCCGCCGCCAGGATGGCGGTGCACATGCGCAGAATGCGCTAGTGGCCTAGTTCGCAATAGCATAAAAATTTGTTTTTCGTTTCTGTTGATTTCATCCAAAACCAATTTTTAGTCTTTGCACATCTCATAATTCTCCTTTAATTTTGTTCATCTATGCAAGTTATGTATTTTGAAGTGGAACTTTTACAAAGGGTTTGCATATAGTTACAAAGTTAAAGAGAAAGTTGAAAAGAGACACAAGTCCATCTAGATAATAGAAAAAAACCTCAGAAAAAAACCCTATACCCACAGTTGATCCAGAGGAAGGCAAACAAAAACCTCATGAAGCATGGTTCAATTTGTTCTAACAGGGCAAAAAAATCCTTCCTGGTCCCCCTATGACAATCAGATATTCCCTGGATCAACAATCTCTAGTGTTATTACTTAAAATATTAATATAGTTAACTAGTTCCTGATGGGAAGCCTATTTCACAGCTCTTACTGTGAAAACGCCTTTCTATATGCGGAGGTGAAACCTTTTTTCCTCCAAAAGCGAAGAGTGCCCCCTCGTCCTTTTCACAGACCTTAAAGTGAACAACGTTATACCATGTTCACTGTACGGATCTTATATGATTTACTGCATTTTCACAATTGGCAGTGTGTGGGTCTTTGTTTGTATATAAACTACTACGTTTGTGATATCATTTTTGTATTTTGCATGGAGAGTGAGAGTGGTGGTTTTCATAAAGATACAGTTACACTTTCAGCACCACTCCTAAGATACATACACTGTAAACTAAGTTGCAGAATTGTCTTGGTTGCCAATATTGCCGTGTCCCCTAACCATTGTGATTGTTTCTCAGAAATTGGTTAGAAAGTAACAGACAAGTTTACTTTTATCAGGTCTTCACTGAGCAGTATATGTAAAGATTACATGACTGACTCAAATGTTGCCAGTCATTGGTAATACATAATCCTGAATGTATTAACTCCTGTTTTATTCATGTCACTGATATCTGCTGAATTAGCGACTGTCATTGTCATGAATCTGGTTTTAGACTAGAACATTTTTATCTCCATGTTATGTATGTGATAGATAGGGATGATTGTGGTAAACTTGATATTTTTCCACTTCCTGTTACAGGCAAAATGGTCATACAAAAGTAACAATTAGGCCTCGTTCACACCACACACCCGATTCTGGCCAGAGCGCACTGCATCACATAGCGGCCGACTCACAATGTTGTGGGGCAGGAGGGTGTGTGGCAGTCCATTGAAGTGAATGGCACCGTAGCCACACCCTCCGGCCGCAATGCTATCGGCCGCACAGGAATGCAAGGCACATTATGCCTGTGGTTCGGTCCAAACAAAATAGTGCTTGCAGCATTTTTTTTAATTTTTAACTTGGGAAGTCCCTCTTACCTTTCTGACCAGACCTAAAGGGTCTGGTATGGATCGGGAGGGGGACCCCACGCAGCTTTTTAAAAACGTTTCCTTTGTTTACATTTTTAAAAAAATGTATAATTATTTTATATTTTTTTTGGGGGGGGCAAGGCATTTTTCAAGCGTTTTTTACGCCTGCCGAATGCCTTGTTAACACTATAGGCGTGTTAATGAGTTCCCTATCGTGCGGTAAATTCTCAACGCACATGTGAAAGAGCCCTAAGAATGCATTCAAGTTCCCTAACAATTAACATAAATGTAACTTATTTGTGTATCACTCGGCTGTAGATCCTCCAATCATCTCTGAGTTGGTGCTGACACTGTCCTTACTTCTGGAGGATGGCTACTATTGTTCCCCATGGTCCCTGTATGCGTTGTAAAGTGGCCACTGCTCCAAGCTCAGTTAGGATACTTTAATGCATTTTTAAGATTTAATTCTTGAGTTTAATGTCACTTTGCTTGAAAAAAAATCTACTCTTTT